AATGTAAAAGTTTCCTTCCTTAAAACAATCTTTTTTAAAAAATAAATTCGTTTTAAAACTTACGCAGTTAATTTTTTTAAAATTATTATGATTATCACCTGAATTTCAATGCAGACTGATTACATTGCTATTACTAAAATCTATTCTAACAGTAACTTTCATTCCTTCTGAGATATTGCTAAAACACTTAAAAAGCAATATTTATAGTTCGATTGCATTTCAAATTATTTCCGGTTTTCTGTGTTTTTGTCATAATCTAAAAATCTTTAAAACTTTCAACATTTTCCATATACTTCAACTGCATAATAAATTACTGTACTTTACCGTTTCGCCGGCGCAAATCTCGCTAAGCAGACTTTGTTGGCGACAACATAGGATATACACATAAAAAATGTTAACAAATATTAGTTCTAAAAATTTTTTATTTTGAGGGCATGAACATTCTAATATTGTTTATAATTTTGTAAAAAGTCAATAAATAAAGACAACAAAGACATTAATTAAGACATTAACAATTTACTATGCTATCATGGTTCAATATCCTGATTCGCCGGTTTGTATCACGTGACCCCAAGTGATCTCATCTCACGTAAACTACGCTACAAAAATCTAATTCTCTCAGTAATTATCTACATTAATTTCAAGTTAAATCTTAATTTGGAATACAAGTTTAAATGCAAGAATTATTTCAATTCGTACGAATAGCTTACTCAGAAATTATGTAAAACCGTAGTGCTTTACTTCGCTAGTGCATTTTCATTAGAACTGATGAATTTAACCCTTGATTTTTTTGCCTTTTCTATATTTTCGTCTTCGGGTGAGCGGTGTGATTGCATCCTAATTTACTTAATTACCGCGAATGATCTTAGGGCATAAAATTTAACTATCTTTGTAAATATTCTATGTAATTGTATGCCAGTATTGAAAGAAACAATCAATCCGGTTAGAAATGGCTGCGACTTGTTTTGAAAATGAGGTGTAAAAGGTTATCAGAGAAGAATATTCCGTTTGGCATCAGTTGTACCATTATTGGCGACTTTATCGTTTGCGCCGGCAAAACGGAAAAGTACCTAAATTACTTTAAATAATTTCTTTTTACCTTAAACATTTAGGTTTTATTTAAGGCCCGACACGGTGATAATATCAATATTAAATTTGCATTTTGCTTTTTTATATACATTTAAGATATTCAGAAAGGGAATTTTAACCTGAAACTGTTTTTGTTTATTAACAGAGTTTAAAAATTCTTGCCTTCCTGTCCAAGAAACACTATTAATTTTATCTGAAATAGGAAAGATGAAACATAGTTGATAATAAACAAAGCTATGTTGTTACTCATGAGTAACTCAATATAACTGTTTAGTAGGGTATTTTTGTAAAGAAAGATTTAAGATATTCAGAAAGGGAATTTTAACCTGAAACTGTTTTTGTTTATTAACAGAGTTCAAAAATTCTTGCCTTCCTGTCCAAGAAACACTATTAATTTTATCTGAAATAGGAAAGATGAAACATAGTTGATAATAAACAAAGCTATGTTGTTACTCATGAGTAACTCAATATAACTGTTTAGTAGGGTATTTTTGTTACTGTACATTTTTCAAAGAACAAATAAGCATTGTATTTAATATTTATGACAATTATCAATTATTTAATACTACATTATAATATGAACAATTAAACATTTTTTGGGTGCTATATTTTTTCCTAGGGATCCCAGCATTCATTTTTTGAAGCATTATGTTCTAAATAAATGACATTTTTTAATACAGCATTAGTTATTGACACCAAATCCCCAACAAAGGGAAATGCCTTGGGAGGATTTTTAAACAAAACTTTTTATTAGAATAAAGATTTTTATTATTTTAATACTAATAATAACATCTAAACAGTAATTTAAGTTCATTGTTGTTGAGTGAATAAAATTGCTGGATGTTGGTAGTTTGTTTGCAACCAAACGGTTCAGCTGCTTGGAGTCTTTATGATTTTACCCCATGCGTAACTTGAATTCAAGCCAATTTTATTCAGAAAATTCCCTAAGAAGGTATTCTCTTAAAACAGACAGCCCATGACTTGTGTTGCTTATTGGCTGCACTTAAATACATCGTTCTTATATTCCTCCCAATAATTTTCCTTCTTCAAAAAAAGTTTTTTTTTCAGCAAATTGTACAATCTACTGTTTTATTTTGTCTTTTTTATGCAAATAACCAGCTTCAGATACATATTTCATAAGTCCAGAAAACCCATTATTCGCCAAGTGGTAAGATCGATGAGCACTGGTAAAGTCTAGTGGCAGCATGAGAGATTTAGGGGTTTTAGAAGTGCATCGTGAATTACCAGTCTGTTTCCCTCAGTCTTCCACAAAGACTTCCTTTTAATTAGACAAATAGTCCCTGTTTGCTTTACCATAATCCAAACTCTTAAGTGTAGAAACCTCTTATCATAGCTGATGATGATGATGATAATTATTTTCTGGTTGATGTGTCAAATTAGCATAGTTCTATATTTCTACCAAAAACTGACACATATTAGCCAATAATAATAAAAAAAAAAGATTCAAATCCGGTTGTAGCTTAAACAGTATTTTCAGTATCCTAGTACCATATCAACAGTATTTCTATATTAATTGCAGGCATGCATTCATAAATATAACTGAATACTTGAAATAGTACTACAGTACAAAGTCCAAAATCTGGAAAGATCTAAAATGCGGACCTCAAAGCCAAAAACTTTTGTTTTTGGTATGCTTAACGCATGCACATTTGATTTTTCCTTCCATAATAAAACATGTGGAGATTTTCACTTAAAAATTCTGATTCTTAATTTCATTAGGCACTACATACAATACCTCGTTATGAAAAAACAATCATGTAAGCACAAATTTGTGAGATTAATAATTTGGCTCCAGAGCTCAATGTCTGCTAGGCATACATCTCAAACCGAAGCATTCACCAATTTTATATCCCTGATGACGATCTGGCAAGTCATTATTTATTATACTTTGCTTGCATCACTGCATGTTTATCAATACACAACAGCTTCAGTAATAACTCATGCAGCGATGTCTAATTTTTTTTTAATATTAGAAATTGAATAACGAGAGTACGGCAACCTTTCATGCTAACATTACACTTGACAATGATTATAGATATTTAAATGCTCTAAGAAATGCTGACGAGGAAAATTCAACAAAAATTTCTTTTCATATGCTAAAAATAGATTTTGTGAATGAAACTCACAGGCCAAAAGATTACACTCAGTGCTACTTTAATTAAGAATAACTGATATGTTATTCACCATAAACCCAGAAGCGGCGGCAGAATATGTCAGCACCGGACGGAAGAATTTAGGGAAGACTAAATTTTTGGAATTTTGGCATGAGGATGGGGAAGAACTATACAGTCAGACCATTCACCCAAGATCGAACTTGGGGTCACAATCCCAGTATACAGCAGTCTTTATTGCTCGGCCACTGGTGGTACCATCATCTCAACAATCACTCCTCGTTTCACAGTACTGATTAATAAAATTATTTAACCAGCTAAAAATTTACAGAACACTGTGCAATGCTAATAAAATATAAAATTATGAAGAATTGTAAGCACAGAATTAAAAATTAGACAATACAGTTTACATAATATAAAATACTTTAATGTTATGAACGAAGGAATCTTTTTAATGAAAAGCTTTTATTGAAACACGTATTATACGATACAGCATCAAAAGAATCATATACGAATATAATAAATAAGCAAGAAATTATAAAATTTTCAATATAAAAAAACCTTACATTAGAGTGTGTTTATATATTTTGGTAGCAGATGTAAAAGCTAAACTATAATTTTCACCATGTGAGGGAGACTCTCAACATAATTTTCAAAAACTGAGGAATATTTTTCAATGCTACACACAGAATAATGACACACAAAATGTTATTTCAGAAACATATAGCTACCATAAAAACAATATATAATAAATACCATTCAAAAATCATTCTATTTATTACAAAATATTAAAGAATGATTACAGAATAAAATTTTTTTTTCAATTTTAGTTAAGGAATTGAAGGCACGATACCACGATTTCTATTGAAATTATTATATTTGTAAATTGAAACTGTATGAAATAGATTTAAACAAGGTTATGATTTGTAAATTGAAACTGTATGAAATAGATTTAAACAAGGTTATGAACTTGAATTAATACAATAGTTATAAGTGTTTAACGTTTTAATAGCCATTTCGATTCTGTAAAAAATCAGAATGGCTATTAAAAAAACGTCAGAACTTCAAGAAATTACGCATGTTTAAATTTTTTCTCCTTTTATTTGCATTCAGTAACAGTCAGATTTGGTTATTAAACCCCAAACCTCTTATCCTGATGCATCGTGGTATTTAAATGTTAAATTAATTAATCTTTGAGAATTTTATTGCTTACTTTCTATAAATTCAATTTCTTTTTCACTAAATTTTAAATATTTGTACAGCATTCTCTGCTGCGAACTTGAAATCTAACATCCGAGAAAATGTGAAAAGGACCATGCGATATTTCCTACTCATTTCAGATTTCAAATAAATTTTGAGGAACAAAGATCAATTCATAATAAAAAAAAAGCAGGCTTTTTAAGGTACAAACCTTCTAAAAATGGACATATGATTTTGTAGCAAAAAAAAAAAAAAAAAAAAAAAAAAAATTACTTTGGTCCAACAATGTTGACTTATAAATCTGATTAAGTAACTTAAAAATAAAACTATATGGATAACTAAGACACAAAAATATGTTATAGCTACATACTACAAAATAAATTAACAGTATTCCTTAATACTTACACAGGTAGAAATTACGTCAATAAATCACTACTACCTTTTAACACGTTGCAAGCTTTTTAAGACAGCGCAGTAACTATACTCGTTTACCGACACGTCAACGAGGGCTCCATCTATGATTATGCAACTGACGTCATGCGTCTTCGTTCGAGAGTAATCGAAGGGAACTCTGGGAGAAAGAGCCATATTTTTCCTATTCAGGCTATTGGGTAGACTTTGTAACTGATAATGTGGAATAGAAATAACTCATGGAATTTGAAGATAGCTGTCATCTTGTATTGCGAATGTCATGTGTGAGTTCATCTCTAAGTTGTGAATTCAAAGATTTTGGATATGGTGATTTTATTATTGTGCAATTATGATTGAAACAAATTGACCTTCCTCGTCCGAGGGTCACAGGTGTGATAGTCATTGGTCGAGTGATACAAGTACGCCAAGCCTAAGGCTATGGACAACACAGAAGCAATGGAGTTAGTGTTTACGTCTTCATTGCTGAAAAAATTGATTACTCCATGTTTCGCGGTAAGTACTATCCTGTATAAAATTAATGAAGTACGTGTAATTCTATGCGATTGCAGTTTTAATAAAATGTGTTAAATGAAAAATTTAATTGTTTTTGTTGAAGTAACCTAATTTCAATAGACACTTTTTTCGCGCAAAATTGCTACGCAGTGTAACTGGTTTGGGGAATCGAGAATGAATTTTAGGCTTGTTTTTATTTAGCGCTATCGGTAATTCAGTAGAAAAGTTAAATGAAAGCATTTTGATGCAGTGTTTACATTTTTTTGCTCTCTGCTTTTAAAGCACGCTGACCATGTGGCGTTGCTAATGACTTTACGTGGTGAAGAAATAAATGATGTCACTATTGGGATGTGTAGACTGAGATGTGTTTACCATCAGTATAAAAGATTTAGAAATTTGCCTTTCGTAGGGAGTAGTATTGCTTGCTTTTATTGCGTTTTAAAAACATGTTTTGTAATAATATTTAGAACCGAAAAACTTTTTTAAAATTTTCATAGTTGTGCATCCTACAGCAAATTCGTACCCTTCGCTTGTATCATTTAATAAATTTGTGTGATTATTGAATTCTAGTTTATGCTTTATTTTGCTTAGAAGAACAAATATAAATAATTCGACGTTTTGAATGTTGGGAAATATTTTGATTTCTTAAAGCTTAAGCGGAAGCTTGTTTATACATTTTCGGACTTTGTAAGGATAGAAAAGATTTTTCATTATCAATTTTACATGCGTCCATCCTTACCATATATATATCTAAAAGAGCAAAAAGCGTATATTATTAGCTTATCTTGTTTATTATATAAGTCAGTGAATACCAACATGCCAGTATTTTAAGAATATTTTGAACAAAGTTTTTTGTCGTAATTTCTTAAATCCTCTGCGTATATTGAAGACATCTGATGGCTTTCTTTAAATTACTGCCTTATCTGTCTTTTTTTAAAATAAATTTTATTGTACTGATGGAAAATGCCTTTAAATTGGTCTTGTTTTAAAAACATCTGCAATAGATGTGAATGTATATAAAGACTTAGATCTCATGAGTATCATACTTGTCATTAAAACTTTTCTGAAACCTCATACTGATCCAGAATATGTTTTTTGGATTAAGAAAATTTACTGCTTATTTATTTGTATATACTAGGAAGCAGTATTCTTAAAAATCTTGTGGAAGATATTTTAAATAAGAGTCACTTCACTGTCATTTATAAATTCATTGTTAGTTGTAGATTTGTAATACTATAATCAGATATCTCTGCTTCTTTGTGATGTAAAACGTTTTCATGCATAACCTTCCCAAAAGGTCTATTAAATGTTTTAATATTTGTTTTTCAGTTTGACACATAATATTATTGGGAAATGTGATAAATATTTGTGGATAATTTTTTTTTTTGTAACATTAAGATGAGAGTGATTATATTTTATTGGCTGTTGATTTTGGCTCAGATATTTTTTTTTTTTCTATAATATTTTCAGTTCGAAGTTGATTTTTTGAGCTCTGAACTAGAGCAAGGTATATTAGTTACGTTTATTGCAAGCTTTCGAAATGAACATAAACTTGCGATACTTAAAAGTTAGGCGTTAAAGCAATCTTGTGAGCTAATGTTTTGAGTGAAACTGTTGATTTCGACAGCGATCTGATACGCATTCCTTTTCTTAAAAGGTAAAGAAAGGGTTAATCCAAGGTTTTTTTTTTTGGCTATGGTTTAAACATTAATGTGTTCTTTTCCGATTATCCAAATTGTATTTTGCAGTATGAAAATCATTATGTAGATGTACCATAAGTAAAACAGTATTTCAGTGTTTGCTTATTGCTGTTTGTTAATTTAGGCCTCAATTGTATTTATCCATTTACTTCATAATCTTATGATTTTAAAAATATCTTGTAAACAATTAGTTTGTTGGTTCTGAAAGTGAGGGATATCGTGTAGTGTTATTTCAAGCATAGTATAGATATACTAAATTTTATGTGCAAAAGGGCAAATCTAAAAGGTAATATGTTCTGTAAATAAGACATGGTCTTTTTTAATGTTATTTTCTAATTATGTGAGTGGAAATTTCATTATCTCTCCTTTTTTTAACCACCTGTTTGTTATTTAACAACCACTAAGATTGTCCATCCTCCAAAAAAAAAGTTTAAAATAATTTATATTCGTAAAAAAGCCAGTCACCGTATTTTTTACAAAAGACATTTTGGTGACCATGTTTAAGATAAAAGGCTGTATTCATTTAGACTATAACATCGCAGTGCTTGACTCTGAAAACTTTGCATTCTTCCTTCTTCCATAGTGTATTAAATGAAGGCAAAATTCAATAATGCTTCCAAAAATTTACATATGCTTTTAAAATTTCAAAATAAAAAATGTCTTAATTTTGGATTAATTGCTAGAACTATAATGATGATTCGTTTGGTCGTCCTTTCATTACAAACTGTAAGCTAACAAAGAAGAATTATAATTGGCGCTTCTGTGTAATTATGACCCCTGTTTTGTAAATGCTGCCAAGATTATTGACTATTCAGCAGTGCTATGTTTGGCTCTAAACAAAAAAGATATAATCTCAATAAACTGCATTTTAAATCAAACAGTGAATTAACATAAAAAAGGAATGCATCTTATCGTATCTATATAAATATATTACCTTACCTTATTTAGAAATTTCTGTGTCTTCAGTCCAAAGAATATGTAATGTTAAGAAGGAAAATTCTGCAGCAGCAGGAGTGGCTCCCTCTGAACAAAAAGAGAAACAGTTGCGCACGCGTGAAATATCTGTTGCCAAAAAGTGCCAAAGCCGGTTATGTTGATCAAGGGTTCACATCATAATAGGGTAAGGATGCACAACCTTTTAGCAGAACGGCTAACAGAAACTACTTGGTTGATGAGTGCCAAAAGCGTATGGAAAAAAAATTGGGGAGGGGGATCAATGCAGTAAGTCGTTTAATTTTCAATTCCAATTTGACATGTATCATTTCAAATTTAAATTGATTTGGAGACCATTATGTATGTATGTAAGCAAAGAAGAATGGGAGTTTCTCTTTTCCTTAGCATGTTCTACTGGGGCCCAAAAACCCAGTTCAGCTTTGCAAACAAAATATAGTTTATGTTTATGCATGATAATTTAATACTTGTATACAAATCTCTACATATAATAAAACAAAGAGTCTCTGAGTGTGTCTTTCGTTCGCACTGCACGTATGCTAATAGACCCACGGCTACGAAATTTGGTACATAGGTGCATCCAGACAAGAGCCAGTGCACCTTGAAGCGTTTTTTCCGAAATTCGAATTAGAATTTTTTTTATTTTATGTTTTGTGACGAAATTGTGTCATTTTGAGACATAATGGGCTATAGGAAAGCAAGATTTTACTCTACACACTCCATTTTCACATCATCATGAAACGTAGGCACATAGCTATTTTACGAACTTAAAATAAATTTCGTGTTTCAATAAATCGATTAAATACGAATTTATTTAACAAAAGGAGCTTAACACCTTTTCAACGGGATTTTTCTAAAAAAGTTTATTTTTAAAAATGTACAGATTATTTTTTTCTTTGATTTTTGGACACGTTAAACTTTCATCCTTGCGACTGCTTTTACAAAAAGAATTTTGGAAAAATGATAATATTTTGTATTTTTAAAAATTTTTTTTAAATGAAGCTTCCGAGTACATTTCTCACATCTCACATCTTTAAAAATGTGATTTTGGCAACAATTTTCCTGTCAGATTGTTGTTGATAGATTTTTGATGAAATAGCTTCATTTTGAATAGTTTCATTCTTTTAGAAATATGGGTTTGGCAACAATTTTTTATTGTATTTCTTATGTCACTGTTTTTAAAAGATTCATATATTTATTCTCATTTGTGTATATGTATATATATATAATCCATTTTTATTGATTTTTTTTGATAAAGTTGTTCTGTAGAGTCAAATTTTGTGTGGAATTTTATGTTTTTTTAGTTGCTTTCATGTTATTTTTTGCTTATTTCACTGTTTGTAAGATATTGAAAACTTTTGCATGATTTTTTTTTCTTCAACGGAAAGTTGGTTAATCTTTCATTAGGATAATTAATATTTGTATTGAGGGATATAGCTTATTTCATTGTAATTTTTTCCTCTTGAAAGTATAAGATAAAATATCATCAATTATAATTTGCTTTTCAGAATTTTTTTGTTTTTTTTTTTTGTATTCTTTTATGTTATTTATTGCTCATTTCACTGTTTTTAAGATAATGAAAAGTTTTGAGTGATTTTTTTTAGGAAACAAAGTTATTAACCTCCTTTGTACCATTTGAGTTAAGATTTTGCAAAGGAAAGTTGGTTAATTTATTTATTAGGATAATTAATATTTGTATTTTAAGGGATATTGCTTATTTCATTGTAATTTTGTTGTACGTTATAACTTTTTTTATGAAGTTCTTCTGCAGAGTAAAATTCTATGCAGTTTTTAAATTTAACATTTCAGCCATTTTTCCAGTACATTTAAAAGCCAGACGAAAGCTGGCAATGAAGCTGCTAGTATTCTAATAAAAATGTGTATAAGTTAGTCATAGTTAAATACATTAGTGTGATGGTTGAGACTGAATTTTTTCAGCAATTTTTGATATATTTAATTATATAAAAAACGAAGAAAACATATAAAAAACGAAGCAACTTAAACAACTTACATTGAAAGAAATGTTTAATAAAGTAAACAAATAAATATTAAGCTTTTTTTGTGAATTTTGATACCCTTTAGATCATAATTGTTCTTTATTTCATAAATTACGGTTTCATATTTTTAATTTTATAATTTCTGCATGCTATCTTACCAGATTTAAACTGATGATCTATAATCCAGAAAAATCGATAATCCGAAGTCCCGACGAGTCCGGATTAACGACTTTTGACTGTATATACTTCCTAACCAACATACATCCTCATTACAAATTTATAGCAATCATGCAACTGATTACATCATAATAGAGTTTCCATAACATTCAACTACTCAGACTACCATAAATGA